CATGAAGAGTATGACAGTTAAAACTGGTGATAATTGCTATGTAAACGCGTTAGTAGATAAATAAAAATAAAAAAAGTCTAAAACACTTCTGTTCTTAATCTATAATTGGTATATTAACGTGCCTGAAAAGGCGTATTTCTTTTAGGGAACGTACCCCTACTACGTGACCTTTTTTTTTTACACTTTTTTTACTTTCCTTATACGAGTACGCCCTTGGCTTATACTACGGGTGGTAACCCCCCTTTCCCTCTTATTTTCACATAGTACATACATAATTATGGTTTTAATAAAAAAAAAACAAGACAGAAAGTAAAAAAAAAATAGTTTTACTCAAATTTGTTTTTATTAATACAGCGCTTGCCTTATTTAAACGACGATAACCTCTCTGACTAAGCTTAGTATTTTAAGACCCCTTTGACGCCGTGAACTGGTCAAGTAGTATGGGGTATGTTTCCTTACGTGATATTCACTTTTTTTTTTATCTTGCTACGCGTCTACAAAGCATAAACTAGGTAATCAACTAGTGAAAGTGCAAGCACGAGACACGACACATACATTAACAGCACACAAACATACACAAATACATAATTGACTCAATAGCACGATGAGACGTGAGACGGACAAGTCACATTGTAAAGCTCGGCACGAGGCGACCTTACGACGGGAAATCTATTCCATAATTAGGTAACTGAATCAGAATTGGTAGTTTCATTAAATATTATCTATAGAAACTAACAGAGAACGACTATTTAACAATAACATTTCTGTGTATCAAAAGGAATCAGCCGATTGACGGTGGAACTAACACATATTTTTTTATATCAACAGTGTTATTTAAAATTCGCGCCACGCAAGATTTTAATGATCAGAGTTCAATTCTCGAACTAATTAAAATTTATAGTTGTGTTACAATTTCCAGTTCCATGATTATAATTATAGGTTAGAAATAAGCTTTATTTACCTTTGAATTGCATGCCGTTTTGACAGCAGTGCGATTCTCTAAGGCGTCACTTCAAACTCACTTTATTTGAAATTCGACTCTATGACGCCGTTGTAGCGTCGAATTACAAACGAACTAAGTTTGAAGATCGACGCTGTGGCAGCGCTGTACGCAAAGCTGTTTCCTTAGAGAATAGCACTGCAGGTTGCATTGGCTGTTACTGGTGTGAAATACTTATTAATCGCGTTAATTCTCGAATTGTATTTCAAAAGTGTTATTTCAACTGTTGCTTTTGAAGGTTTTTGAAGTCAAATAGCCATCTAATAAAACATTCACAATGGATTTTAACCACCGAACTCAAATATAAGCTACATTTGAGTTAGGTGGATAAAACATTATAATATATGCGTATTGCTGTCGCATAGTGGTGTGACGTGCCGAGCTTACATTTATACACTATTCGATAGAAGCGAGCACAACACGGTAGGAATATTCGTTAAGTTTTGTGTTGGGGAGATTTGAATTTAGCTACAATTTTATGGTGTTATAAATTTTAGATTACGATAATTACAATTTGAGCATTTCAACTACATCTTAAATCCCAAGACTTTTAATTAAAATTGTCCATATAATTATAATATTAACGTGATTTAAAAAATATTTCAATATCAAATCTCCGCCGACACAATTATTATTTCAATAGATATTTATATTCTTTATATGTTAGTTAGTAAATATATTATATTATCAGAGATTAGTAGGAGAAAGAACAGTATCGGAAGGTAGATGAAACACAGAAGGCAATGAGCTTATTAAGAAGGAAGTGTATTGCGTCCTTAAAGATAGAGTATATCCGGGTTGGGCCAAATGTTTGTATGAGCTGCAAATATTTGTTTCGGAATTGAGGTGTTTTTTATGTATAATAAGTATGTATTTAAAAGGAAAGTATATAAGTATTCTATCAGTCGATCTAGTTTTCATAGTACAAGCTGTGCTTAGTTTGTAACTAGATGGCGTTGTGTGTTAGATGTCCGAAATATTATTATTATTGTATCAATTATCTAAATAATCTATGAACGGGAATGCAAACGAAAGAGTTTTAACGTGGGCCAGCCATGCTCTAACAGGTATGGGCCGGCTTGACAGGACTGATGCTACGGTCTCTTAGAAAACCGCTGTTAAAAGCTCCGACCCCCCTCTCCCCTAATTCAGGAGGGATGGACCCACGTGTGGCTTTATTGTCTATGGACGTCGGTAGTTTGCTTCTTACACACGTGAATAAAACCTGTGTCCCTTATAAATAAAAGTTTTTAATCAAATCGAACCGCTACATTTACAATAAGATGGAACGTGGCCTGACCTATCATATTAATGGACATTACCCAGGGCTCATATAAAAGGTCTTTTCTCACTATAAAGAAGAAGATAAAGAGTATCTCTAAGGACGCAATCAGATAGTTGTGAAAGAAGATTTAAAATTCTTTTTTATATCATAACACGTATATCATTCTTTTCGTTCTGTACATTCTAAGGCTCCCCTGATATGTATACAGGCCGTATACAAAAATAAACCGCTCTACACTTAAGCAACAATGTTATATACCATTACTTCATACTTATTATTTTTAAGAGTATTTACAGAACGTTACTTTTCTATATTTACGTCCAGTAATGTGAGTATCATCGATAATACTGTGTTATATATTCTTTATAATCTATGAAAATCATAATAAAAAAAAACTTCAAGATTGTTTAGGAAAATAATTATATTCATTAAATAATTATTTTCATAGAAGCTTAGCTCCTCGGTCAAATCAACTAAATAATAAATGGTCTATCCAACCCTAAAAGTTTTTTTAAAATTTGAACCAGTAGTTCCTGAGATCTGCCAAACGAACAAACTCTTCAGGTAGCAGCGTCTAGATTCAAGTTTCACAATATTTTTTATTCTTAAACCAAATAGTATGACGTCATAAGCCATTATTTCATACAAATTTCTAAACAACGTTAGGTCCGGAATGCTTATTATAAAGAAATTTTATACTAATTTGATATAAAAGACATTACCGTTTTTTTAAATATAGATATTAGTCATCAGTGAAATAAACACGGGAGTAACACCATATTCAATAACAATATATAAATATGAATAACACTTACAAAAGCTTTTATTCTAATTTAAAATTTTACTAAATAAAAAAAACAGTATTATCGATGACCGTCACACATCAACAACAACCCATCGCTTCATTGCCTTCAAGTGTCAGAGGACGTAACAAATATTATATACAATCGCTACCATATTGTCATTTATTTTAACTGTGAAAAAAGCAGTGTACTTAGGCAATAAATGAGGCTGAACCCTCACATAAAGCCAGGATCCCCATAATACCACCCTCTCCTAAGTCAAAGCTGCTCACATAAGCTTGCAATATGCCACTACATAGTGCCTTGTAATATTATTACTCAATACCATTGCACCAGTCTCCATACGATATATATATTTAACTATATATGTACATTTATCATATATACCCTAATTTAAAAAAAAAAACAATTAAACGGTTAACATAAGAATCACAGCGTTCAAAATCACAAAAATAAAAATACATACACATTTTTATATTACAATGTTTAGTGTCTTAATTACATGAGATCCTTGTTACAAAAATATCGTCTAAAATATAGCAAAATATATATAATTAAAAATATACTATCACTATAGCTAGCAACATTAACAATATTGAACGATAAGCAATATGTTTCCTAAAAAATTTTTTATCAGATATTGGGGCTGCCAGAATAGATTTCATTTTTAATAGTGGCTACTCTGCACAGACTAAAAATATACATCACTATAAATTTTGAAAATATAGCTGCAATCAAGCTAGAATTCATCACTCAGTAACAATATACCTATATTACTTCAAAACAGATCTTTCTCGGCAAAGACTTGCAGCAGTGTGACTAAACATAACAGTGTTGCCACTCTTATAAAATTAATTACAAAATAAAGCGTCCGTGTCAGACTTACAGCAAATACGTGTAAATATATAAAAAGTAAATGCAAGCATCAGTTCTTAGAAATGAATATGAACGATTATTGATTTGAACACTACTAACTCTTATTTGTTAGATGGCAACCACCACTACGGTTAAACACGTTACGTTTATAAAACTAGAAATGATCTCTCTCAATGATTAGGATAAGCTTAATGATAGCTATTCACCGTATGTTATTCAAAAGTAGCCCTTTGTAATTAAATTTTTATAGAAAAAAGTCAATACTTTTGTTAGAAAAATATTCAAATGAAAAACTAAAAAGACGCATATGAGCGTCAAATGTCAACTAGACGCGTTTATCTTGTTCAAAAGATTAAAAAAAAAACAAAACGAATTCAAATTTTAAATGTATGATGCACACATTCGATAACTGTCATTTTGTATATGGCTATAGTTTCATAATTGACATACATTATAATATAAACTGTATTTGGAAAATGGCGACAACTTTTGAGAAACATCAGGTGTTCGCTAATAAACCCAGTTATCCTATCGCTCCGATTGACAGCGAAACGTTATTCATGCGTTTTGATATGTCAGTCTACCCTAGCGTTGAGGAGCAACACAGTTATGATTATAAACCCTGGATGACATCTAGTTGTTGTCATGTAGTGATAGAATTTAAATCTGCTCCTGTCCAGTTCACTCAAAAAAGTTAATTCAGACTTTACGTGAATGATGTCATCAAAACAATATTTAGTGAGCGCAAGCATCTCGCCAGTACAATAGATATTACTAAAAATCTGTCAATATTTGACAATATTATGATTTTGACAGATCTGTCACAACTTATTTGTAAAAAAATATAGTGACAAATGTGTCAAAAATTTGACAGAACATTTTTTGATAGTGTTGTATATGACAATATTGGCAATTCTGTCCAAATCCCTCTATTTTTTATGATATATCATCTATCTACTTACTGTTTCGCTTATAATCATGACAATAACCCGGAATCGGTGCGATAGAATATCCTAAGGTTAAGTATTGACGAGAATCAAACTCGTCTCGGCTTTCCTGGCCCTGGACACTCCGTTGACCTGATGATGGACGACGCCAGTGGCTCGCGTGGCCTGATGGGATCCATCTCCATGAAGCCAGGGTTCAGGATTATGTTAGGCACTAGCTCCATTACATCTTGATCCTCTATATAATCTTTAGAACGAATGTGACATAAGGATAGCGAGGTTAGGTTAGTAATACATACCGTCACCATGTGTGTGTGTATTTGTTTGTTAGTGTGCGGCCCCGCAGTCCAAGCGTGCGTTCCAAGCGAGTGCGATAGAGGGGAGAGAAGAAAAAAATTTCGAATGAATAAAAAATTGGCAAGTACTGGCTTATAGTTCTCATAAGATTTTGCAAAAGACATGCGGATAGATCAGAGAGGAAATTCGCTCTTCAGTATCTAAGATTAAGAGCGAGTTTCTATTGTCTACGTCGCAGCAGAACTGACGAATAGTAAGTCATCGCCATATTTAGAGTATGGACCAATTACATACTAACAATATAAACAAGTAAGCTTTTGGACTAAACAAGCAGTATGAAATTCGCCTTTAGATTATTCAATAGCACTTGAGCGCTATGCCAAGTCTTTAAAAATCGACTAAAATAGTTAAACACTAGGTTACTATTTTTAAAAGCTTTAAAATGTATGATGGCATAACAGCTCTATCGTAACCTTGACTTATAGTCATGAATACAATAAGCATTTTTGTATCGTCAATAAAAAAAAACAATAATTAAGATACAAGAATGCTTATTATGGCTCAAAAAGAGCCATGAAAATAACTAATAAGTAATATTCATAGGTACCTTTATACGAAATATATCCATTAATACTTATATACGAGCCACACTTAGTTTCGCATTGATCATTGCTAAAAGTATCAAGACTAAAGAAGTGTTGATGTTTTGACTTAAATATTAAATTTTGTTTGTATTAATGTTATTCTGTCTCTGTTATAATTATAAATATAAGTTAATAAGTGCATTTTATGCGATATACTAAAGTATTTTTATTGCTTTATATTAAATTCCTTTAAACTTATGTGTTTTAAGCAACTATGAAGTTATAAGCAGTAGATATAAATAGTGGTCCTACATTTTGAAGTGGTCCTAATTTTTATTGATTCCTAAGTTTAAAAAAAGGCAAGTTATTAATACATTTATTATTATAAAATTTCTAATTTACTATTGAGCTTTTGTTTGATTCCAACCCAAGACAAATAATTTTGTATGATAAACTGTCATTTATTATGTATCTGGATATAATTTCTCTATCATATGTATGTATTTATCATGAAATATTTAAAGACGTTTATTAAAATTCTGGTTACCATAGTGAAGGCTTTATATAGTTAGTGATAAGACAGTCGTTTGTGACGTGTCTGGAGTTAATGTTATATATAATTATATAATAATATTACATATATATTTATATGTAGTCTTGGCAAGAATATATTAATATAGTCTACTGAGCGAGTAAAGATTTATATGATTTCTAGTACTATAATTTATTATACTAGTACATTTGAATATTACAAATGTTAAAATTATTTATACTCAACCTATGTAGTTTTAACTTTTTAATCTAAAAATTACTGTATCTAATTAAAACGTCTAGTAATTATTGAGATTATTATGTTAAAAATCTTTTATTTGTTCTAGTCAAATCAGCTTGTATGTACGCTTTTAAATTAAATAATCATTGTTGTTGCAAGAAATATTAATTTTAGTGGAATTTCCGTGATTTGGTTTGATTTTTGTTATTGTATATTTCTTTTAAATTGTAATCATTATTTATATTGTCTTATGGTGTTTTAGGAATCTGTTTATTTTTAAATAATTTATCAAAGTGAAATTCGTCTATTTAAAATTAATGGGAATCAAAATAAAAAGTTTAAAAACCCTGCATAACTAAGAAAGAAATTTAGCTGTAATATAATTATTTATAATATAATAATGCAATTAACGGGATATATATTCGAATTGCACGGCGTTTCGACCAGGTTTCACTGCCCGTGGTCACAAGCTGACTGGTTCGTTTAATTCTATTGTTATAATTGACGTTCTGTAGTTCTCATTGGTCCGTACGTACTATGTTTGGTTATTAGGAAATGTCTCAGTATAATGTACCCACTGATACATACACCGATTTATAAAAATGACGAAAAATATACATCAATGCCATCTGTCGGAGAGATATTGAACTACGGTTTAACTACTAATCGTAATAACTACATCGCGTTATGAAAGTTCAGGAGACAACTAGTATATATGTATGTAGTTCTAATTTTGATAGCCAATTCTCGTAATAAAAGTTCGGTCCCAGTTCCGATCAACTTTCGATCTGACACAACTGTAACAAAAGGTATTTTCGTAGTAAAGTATTAAACATCCAACGTTGACTGTATTCTGCTATTCTTATTAATGCTTGAAAGATGAATTTGTATAAGTAGTATGCGAGAGCATCAAAGTGTGAGTGTAAAAATTATGCGAAAAGACTTAAATATTGCGAAAGAAAAAGGTTCTCGATAATTCTGGAGATAATTATTAGTGATTTTTATTATTGCATACTTATATACTTACTTATTTATTAGTGGAAATAAAAACAAAAAGCACCAGCACTTTATGCATGAACGTGCGTACCCTATGCACGCAGGTCTTGATATAATCACACTAACAAGATCGCCAGTGTACTGATGAAGGACCGTTTTAAAAGCAAACAACCGCCGAGCGTGTATATAAAGGCCTGATGAATGTGGAAGAGGCGCGAACTGTGTGTCAGGATCTTGTCAAATGCCGTTCTATTGTCTCTGCCTACCTCGAAAGGGAATCAGGCGTGAGTATTTATATATAATATGTCTTTTAGGTTTATTAGTATCATACTGGTAGATGGTATATTTGAGTAGGTAAATCAATATACTGAGCATACATTTCCCAATAACCTACCTTAATCCTAATAGTAATAGATTATATTAGAAATATTATAGCAAATAGGTAACTATTTAAAGCGAGATTCAATTGATTGCTTTTTTGGTAATTAAGTTAATAATTATTAATTTTTAGCTATTTACTTAGCACCAATCGCGTAGCGTAGAAATTTCGTAAATATATTTTTTGTACATTGTATTTTATTTTCAATTATTTTTTTATAAAATCTATTTCAAATACTATTTTAAATTAGTCCTTACTAATTAAAATTTATTAATAAATGTAGTTATAACTATTCAAATTTTAATTGGAAGTTTTTTGTTTTAAACGTTATAATTTAGAAAATTGGCACTTTATCGAATTATTTATATTTATTAAAATTTTATGTATAATTTAAAGCGGTGCGTAGTTTTAAAATGGTGCGTTGATAGTTTAATAAAAAAAATATTAAATAGATTTATTATGCCTTTGTTTATATTTAAAAGCGTATTAATTATTGCAATCTAATTATATAGATTTAGCACTTATATTACGATTCTTATGGTTTTATTTCCATTAAATCCAAATAATTTGCCAAGTTGTTACTAAATGCTACCAAAATGCAAGCTTTCGGCAAGTTTGTCTTTATATATACACTTGTAATGTAAACTTACGAGACTTGTAAATAAAGATCATAATGGATAAACAAAATAACTGGTTTTCAACACTGTGAAGTGTGGCACTATTATATGTAAATAAATTAACGTAAATACATCCCTATTCAACTAATAATTATCGACCCAAATACCGTATTATTATAGTAATCAACTAATAGAGAGAGTTTCTACCTGATACCATTGTTCTTTTTCTTCTTTTACATTTTCCCGCCATCAAACTTTTTCAATCTTTGCCTTTTTATCAAAGCTAGTGGCTAAGCGTTGAATAATCGAATCTGTCGAATAATCGAATCTGTCGAATAATCGAATCTGTCGAATATTTCTGATCAATTGAATATGCTGAATGACCGATTAACAAAAGGCACAAATGTGTAAGTAAACTAAAAAGATATTTAATCGATCGAATTAGTCATTAAACAGCTAAAATAAATCGAAACACGAAACGCGCTCTACGAATATTAATCGATCGATTAAATATCTACCGATCACTCGAGCACTCGATCACATGTCCAGGCTAATACCACATGAAGTAGAGCCTAGGTAGGGGTTTGTGCTATGGCGCTGGCTCACCGTTGCGTCGCCACTCGCGGCACAGGACTGCGCAAGTACCAGCCGCCAGTACAACGAGGGTACCCATCACCACACATACTGCAGCGACCCACGTGCGTGTGTCGAACGATTCTGCGCCCTCGAAGAAGCGTTTGTATAGTTCTGGAAATGTTTGCAGAGGGATTACTATCTTGTTGATGATAAATTAATATTTTAATATTGGGGGAGCCATGTTTGGCCCTTATGGGCAGGTTTGACCGAAGTTCTACCACGGTCACTTCGAAAACGGATGTTAAACAATTCTATCGTTACTTTTAACCGAGTACGTGAGGTTACTGAGGGCCTAACCCCTCCTACCCAACCCTATGGGTGGGGGGAAAACTCAAACGCACTTGTGCACTGGGGTTGCAGGTGTCGATGGGCGCCGGTAGTCACTTACCATCAGGTGACCCGGCTAGTTTGGCTCCTAAACCATAAAAAGTAAATCTAAGTAAAATTAGTTACCAAATTCGATAGTAATTAAAGTTTGAACAAATTCGTTTTTTACAAGACACGGAAATTACTTTGTGTAATCTATGTAATTCAAGCAATCAAATTACGTTATCCAACCAGTCTGAAGGTGGGAACCAATCGAACCAGTGTGCATCAGACTAGAATAAAATGTCGAGCTGCGGTTTCAGGGGGACCAAAGAGGGTTTTATCGCTTAAGATGTCTAAACTGGGATGTTCAATAAACTGCTTAAAATATTATTGTATCAGAACAAGTGGCAAAATTACTGCCTAATTTCAGTTTTTTTTTATGGTATAAGGGGGCAAACGAGCAGACGGGGCACCTGGGATGGTAAGCAACAATTGCCGCCCATGGACACCTGCAACTCAAAAGTCACACGTGCGTTGCCGTCCTTGGAGTCCCTCCCGCTCGAGTCAGCGGAAGTGATTTTATCACGTTCACGAATCACGTTTTTGACTTAACCAAATCTAAAAATTCTTAATGTCACAGTCCATAATGAAATTTCGTTGGGACACATTAATTAAAATCAAAGATATTAAGGTCTAGTGAATTAAAATCCACTTTTAAAATTAATTAGCCTGTCTAAAACTATTCCCTTTACTCAAGATTTTTTGCTTCACAGAATTCTAATGAGTGTCTGGGCATATAAATAACAATAAAAATATTTTTTAAATAACTAGAAGAGCTTCTATAAAACTCACCAGCCTCCTGATCGCTATACAGCGTGGTGGCAAGCACCTCCACCGGTGGACCTGGCCCGAGCATGTTGGTAGCCCACACTCTGAACCAGTAGGACGCATTAGTGTCCAGATGGTACACGTCTATTTGACGCTGAAATCGCAAGTATAGTAAAAGGAAATTAGTTGTAATAGTAGGCTATAACTTGAAGATACACATACAAGGGATGTGTTAGCATATAAGTACAAAATAATTACATAAAAATAGCACAGGCCAACAAAAATGTTCCCCAGAAACAAGAGTTGGATTTTGGTATGCTGGATCTAAATTGCTGCAGAATTGGTCTACCACGTCAGGTTATTAAGATATTCTAACCTAAAAGTGCAAAAACAGCATTTTCCCTTAAATATTTTTTTTTTCGCTGAGATAGTAATGAACAGGGTTTGCTTAGTTTAAATGCAAATTGAAATTCTGCGACCAAATTTGGATTCAGCGCACCAAAATTCTTCGGGAAAGTATACTCTGGTTTCTGGATAAGAAACGTCAAATTTTGTTGGCCTGTGTAATTTGACAAATCTTATACTCGGCCGTCTAATACTAAACTAAAATAAGCCTGAATTACGGTAACCAGACTGCTGATAAACATACTTGTATATTTCTAAATATAAACATAATAGATTAACTACACGTAGACGCAGAACAAATGATCATCCTCATCCCACAATATTTGTGAATAGCTTAACAGTCAGCAAAATACTGGTTTTTGTTAACGGCAAAAATAAAATGTATAAAATATCTGAAAGAAATTAAAACCTCACATAATGAATGTCTAGCAAATAATAAAAGAAATGAGAAATCACTTCAAATCAAAATCAATATTATTGAGAAGCTTAACTCTTCCAGTTTTAAACTGAGTTACGAAAAAACTGCGGGAGTTTGCAGTTTGATAACGAGTTCGTTAAGATCAGGCGCGCCATTTGTTTTTTAAATTAACTTCATAAAGTTCAACGTTTTTACTGCGTATAACTATGCAATAAACAAACAGGTAATACACCAAAGCTGACGAAGAAACAATTATCTAATATCTGTTGAATGGCAATTATATAAGATGGCAAAAAAAAAACTTGAGCTGTAATCTATATATATATATAAGAGATTTCCACGTATATAGTCACTCATCACGATATCTCTGGAACCATTAGAGCTAAAGACTTGAAATTTGGTACGAATATTCTTTTCACCGAGTAGAGGTCAGCTAAGAATGGATTACAAGAAATTCAAAAAAAAAAAAAAAAATGTAAATAGCAAAACAACGTTTGCAGGGTCAGATAGTTTATTTTATGAATGACAACTTCGATTTTGCTTTTGCATTGTGTTTATTTGGTGTTTTTTTTTCCATTTTGTCGAGTCTTTCAAATTGCCTTAGTGGCTATTATAATTCATGACAATTCGGTGCGCTTAATGACATCCTCCATCACTCTTGCACGAACCTACCGCTATAGATCCTTGTGTTCTTGGTGGAAATTCATCTTAAGTACTTGAAACTTTTGTTAACAAGTAGTCGTGACTTCAAAAAACTCTATAAAAAAGGAGGTTGGTTAAATTAGGAACTAGCCGGCCAGTCCAAATCGCTAAAACGAGAAATTAAGCGACTGCAATGTTTCCAGTCCAAATTCATTCTATTAAGGAGTTAGAAAATCTTTAAGGATGGCTCTGCAATGCTCGCGGTCTACAGTAGTCGCATGGCCAGAAGCTCGAAAAAATAAGGACTGACGGTTAATTTTTGGATATGATCTGCTTACCGAATTAGGACTGATATGGTTGGGGCTAATAGGCCGCCATGGCTCCAGGGAGCCGTTAACCGGTGCCGCAGAACGGTACTGTGCAGTAAAGTCTGTGATGGGATGGCCTCCGTCTCCCGCCACGTTCCAAAGTATTAAAGCCAGGATGGTGGAGGCGTGGACTGTCACGTTGACTAAAGGTGGAGGTTCCGCTGTTGACAGAAAACAAGTGAATTGTAATTTAAATTCAGGTTAGTTGTTTAATTATAAACGGAGCAGACAAGTCACCAGACGGTAAGTAACTATTTAAAAAAATAAAAATAGTGTCCCATCGGTAGGTATCGGGCTTAGGACGGCTTAGGACTCCAGAGACAGAAACCTCCTCACAATACGGGCCTTATCGAGAAGAACTGATTTATTATCATGGCTATTAAGAGTCCCCCTTCCAGATCAGGGATAGGTGGGTATGGTCTCCGGTAACCTCACTCACTCGGTGAAAAGCAAGTAAAGAACTTCTTAACACCGGTTTACTGTACCGAAGCATGGCTTTAGCATGATTACTATGTTGATGATCATTTTAAGATAACTTCGCGTTTTGTGCGCTTTCCACATTCACTATACCCACAAGTAACAATAATGTCTCTTAAAATAGCCCACTTAAAAGGATGTGTAGGCAGTATAACGATATTTGTTCGGGATTGGATATCTAAAATGATAAATTAACTAACTTCAAAAAAATGCGATATGTGACAATTTAACCTTTGCTGTTATTGTATTTACTGTTTCTAATCTCCATTTATTTACGTATTTGTCTTTATCTCTAGGAAGTTATTAACTTTTAAATGATGTGTACAGATATTATAGAATATCAGGTTCATAATATGTATGTTAAAATGCTATTCTTTGTGTTACGTAATCTGTTGTCTGTTTCTGTTTTACAAAAAAAATAGGTTTTCTGTAGAGTGGCGGTCCAGCTCCAGTAATACATACATGTTATAATTTATGGTTTCATTGGTGAGTCGCTTTTACCGCAAACAACAGAGTTATGCATCAGTGTATATTTAAGAGGGATTGTTTAGTTTACATAGAGTATAAACAATCTTGTCTTAAAATCTCAAAGCAAATTGAATTATTTTTAATTTAAAAGGCAAATTACTATGCTTTCAGATTGTTATTATAAATTATTATTCATGTAATCAAATTTTATATAGATGTTATATAACCTGGTGTTATTTAATAGTTTAGATATATATGATATCTTTGAAACAATATTTTATTAGGAGTTGGGGAATACCACATACATCAACATCTTTAATGGTCCACTGCTGGACATTGGCCTCTTTTTAGAAAATAGATTTTGGCCTACTATACCACACTCACCAGACGGGTTGGTATAGGGTTTGTGAGGAGGACCGGCTTCATGAGGAGTACCGACGGGCGCGGAAAACTCTGAAGCTGGCCATTAGCCGCGCCAAAGAGGAAAAGAGACAGGAGATGCTGGAGGGTCTTAATCGTGACCCCTGGGGTCGCCCTTACCGCGCGGTGCGACAAAAGCTCCGCGCGTCGGGCCCCCCCCTTACGGAGACTCTCCAGCCCAGCTTCCTGCGAGAAGTGGATGAGGGCCTTTTCCCACAACGAGCGGAACACACTCCCCCGTCGATGGCCTCCCTGGCCGGAGACGACGGGGAGCACGGCGAGGATAATGTTCCGCCCGTCCGGGATTCGGAGGTAGGGGCGGCTGTTCTACGGATCCGTTCCAAGAACACCGCCCCTGGGCCAGACGGGGTACCGGCCCGAGTGCTGGCCCTGGCCCTCAACCACATGGCAGACCGCCTCGGGGAGGTGTTCGACGCTAGCTTGGCGTCGGGACGCTTCCCTGAGTGCTGGAAGAGCGGGAAGCTGGTCCTATTGAGGAAGCCGGGACGGCCTGCCGATTCGGTCGCGGCCTATAGGCCCATCGTGCTGCTGGACGAGGCGGGCAAATTGTTTGAGAGGGTTCTTTCTGCCCGCATCGTCCGGCACCTCTGCGAGGTGGGCCCCGATCTGTCGGACGCCCAATTTGGTTTTCGGGCGGGGCGTTCGACAGTCGACGCCGTGTTGCGCCTGAGGGCCGTGACCGAAGAGGCCGTGAGCTGTGGCGGCGTGCTGTTGGCGGTGTCATTAGACATCGCCAACGCATTCAATAGTCTGCCATTCAGCTGCATCAGGGAAGCACTCCACTATCATGGGGTGCCAAAGTACCTGAGGCGGCTAGTGGCAGACTATTTAGAGGAGCGTACCGTCGTGTACGAGGACCGAGAAGGTAATTTGAGGTGTCGGCCCATGTCGTGCGGTGTTCCACAGGGGTCTGTTCTTGGACCCCTCTTGTGGAATATAGGGTACGACTGGGCCCTTCGCGCCGATTTCCCCCCCGGGCTGGGTGTAATCTGTTACGCAGACGATACACTGGTGACAGCCCGGGGGGCAAACTTCCAAGAGGCGGCGCGCCTGGCCACAGGGGGAGTCTCCCTGGTGGTCGGGCGCATTGAGGCGCTGGGCTTACGGGTGGCCCTAGATAAGACGGAGGCCCTGTTATTTCATGGGCCCCGTCGTGGTCCACCCCCTGGCGCCTCAATCGTGGTCAACTCGGTCCTCGTACCGGTTCGGGCCCAGATGAAATATCTGGGCCTGATCCTCGACGGGAGGTGGCTCTTCGACGAGCACTTCCGACAGCTTGCTCCAAAGCTGGTCGGCGCTGCGTCTGCCCTAGGGCGACTTTTGCCCAATATGGGTGGACCCAGCGTCGCGACAAGACGGCTGTACACGGGGGTTGTCCGGTCAATGGCACTGTACGGTGCACCGGTGTGGGCGGCGGCTCTGACCGCCCAGAATAGGGTACGCCTCTGGCGCCCTCAGAGGGTAATGGCGGTCAGAGCCATACGCGGTTACCGCACCGTTTCGACGGAGGTGGCGTGCGCGTTGGCCGGAACTCCCCCGTGGGATTTGGAGGCGGAAGTGCTCGCCGAAGTTTATCGGCGAGTGGCTGACTCCCGGGCGGAGAGCGGATTTCGCCCTCCGCCCGAGGATGTGCGCGAGTGGCGCGAAGCCGCTCGCCGAGCCACGATGGCTCGTTGGTCGTTCCGGCTGGAGACTCCACGCGCTGGCTTCGCCGCCGTGGAGGCTCTCCAGCCGGTCATCGCCGAGTGGGCAGGGCGGCAGCACGGGACCCTTTCCTTCCGGCTGTCGCAGGTGCTTTCCGGGCACGGTTGCTTCGGAAAGTACCTGCACACGGTCGCTAGGAGGGAACTGAGTCCCGCCTGCCACCACACCACGATCCGCCGCCGGCGAACCGGGCGGCGGAGGCCCGCCTATCACAGCCTCATGCCGCCCTGAGTGTGGCCGCGGGTGGACGGGGTGGGTTTCCCCTCCACCCGCATTAGTTGGCCAGCCGCGAGGGGGCGGCGTCCGCGTGTGCCGGACGTCGCCTAAAGAGAGGAACATCCACATTGAGACGGAGCCCGCACCAGGAGCGGGCTGGCGCTAGGAGGAGTCCGGATGTCTTAACAACAGCTGTTCCCGGATCCCTCCTGTTACAGGCGCAGAGTGGCACACCGTGTGGTTTTAGTCGGTCCGAGTCCGACACACCACCCCGCCGCAAACCCCGGAGGGGTGACGGTCCGAGGGGATTTCCACACGTTAAAAAAAAAGAAAAAAAAAAGGGTTTGTGTCAAGTTTTCCTTTTGTTTGCAGTGCGTAGTTTGCTCCCTTAGTCGCCTCTTACGACACCCACGGGATGAGTAGGAGCGGTGACACTCCGTATTATTAATCTGTCACCACACGGATACGGGAACACCAAAACGTCCAAGTAAAGATGGCGGTGGCTAACGATAATAGCTATTTGTTATTTTAGTTTACTAATTGAAGTACTAAAAGAATTTTAATACTAGCTGACCCCGCAAACTTTATTTTGCCATATACATTATTTCAAAAAAAATTGTCAAAAAAATATATTAGGTGTATGAAAAATAGATGTTGGCCGATTCTCAGACCTACCCGATGTGCACACAAAATTTCATGAAAATAGGTAGAGCCGTTTCGGAGGAGTTCAACTTCTAACATCGTGACACGAGAAGTTTATATATTAGATTGACACAGTACTTTATTCAGTGACACCAAAATTAGTTCTCAGCACATTTTTTTTGAATTGCTTCAAACTCCACTTAGCATTGGTATTTAAATTGCGACAATAATGAATCTATGAAAAGAACTCTAAAGACAAGTGCTCTTTGAAACCTACGACAGTTTTACGACCATTAAGCAGGATTAATAGCAGTGTCATAAAATGCTTAAAATTACCTATAAATCTTACCGTTTTCTTAGGTTAGTATTTGCTCTGCTGTTTGAGGATAATGTTACCTGCTAATTTGTGGGTTTGCTAACTGCGTTACGGCTTGTTAATGATTATCTTAGTACAAGCCATTACTCACAGTTTCACCTGCATAAATGTAAGTCACTCTAGGTTCCTAAAGGCCTTTACGTAACTTTTTATAGCGTATGTATATTATTCCTCAATAAATACTCAATTAAATATGAAATAATCCTTCGAATCCGAGTGATACTTTACATTTGTATGCATGAACATTTAATGTTTGATTTGGACTTGGTGTTCCTATGTATACTATATATGTATTTACAAAAAGAAAAACAGTTGTCTAGTACCCATAGTACAAGCTCTGCTTATTTTGGGACTAGGTGGCGTTGTGTGGTTGTGGAAAAATATTATTATTATAGGCACTACGGTGTTTGAACAAACTAAGAAATAACAAGAATGAATCCTTTTTTTAAAAGTGGAACCGACTTTTTACAATACTAACAAAGAGCATTAATAATAAAAAACCTAGAAGCAATCGCGGTTGATTTGCTGTCATTTTTAGAAGAGTTCCGTTTTCTGTTTCCGAAACTCATGATCATATGAAATTTCAATGGGACCATTTCGGAAAAAACCACTTTCGAATAAAAAAATAATTTTGAAAATCCGTCCGCATACATAAATATATAAACAGCCAAATTGACAACTTTCTCCTTTTTGAAGTCTGTTATAAAACTGTTTTTATGTCAATGAAAAATGTTGCAGAAATAGGGAAAATCTATTCCTTTTGAGATACGCAGACGAAATTATAGCAAATCATACCTGTGCCAACATGATATAGAAGGCCAAACCTCTTTTCTAAGGCGAGGCCTATGTCCAGCAGTGGACTATGACTGTGGATGATGATGAGAGGAAATTGCAGGGTCGGCTAATAATATACATAACTATATTTGATAAAATAAAACAAAATACTCTGTGATAAGTAAAAAGCATTACTGTGTAACTATTAATTTTACTTTGTCGAGAGTTATGTATAACTTCAATAGCATTAGCAAGTGTGTTTCTGACGTCACTGTTCTGTACAGATATACCAAAAAACGTAGCGTATGTAGCGCGCTGAATTCAATTACGGGCAAAAAGTTGGCTCCCGTCTAAAAACGGGGCGTCTGGCAGTACAAACTATAAACAATCGCAACACAATACCCCT